AAAGAAAGAAAGAAAGAAATTACTTTTCCTAACGGTGTCTGATATTCCCTATTGTTTCAAATAATTATCCCCGGTCTGACCCACTCTCTCACTGAACTCACTTCCTCTTTGATCAGTAAACATTTTTTTTCTGTTTACTGAAAAGTCCTAATTTAAAAAATTGTGGGGGCTGAGGCTGTGGCTCAGTGGTAAAGCACTTGCCTAGCATGTGTAAGGCACTGGGTTCAATTCTCAGCACCACATATAAATAAATGAATAAAATAAAGGTCCATCAACATCTAAAAAAATATTTTTAAAAAAATTAAAAATAAAAAAATAAATAAATAATTGTGGTAAGAATATATGTGCCATAATATTTACCATCTTAACCATTTTTAAGTGTACTGACTAGTAGTATTAAGTACATTCAGTAAACATGATTTTTAAAACACCCCTGCCCTTGGTCAACATAAAACAGCCATTTTTTATGATTACATTTTGTTTCTTTGCAAGTCCTCGTGGGGCTTTGAAAAGCAGGGGAGCCGGCTGATGTGTTGGACCAATCACCACGCAGGCCAATTTAAACTCTTTGCACAGGAAAAGGGCTCAGGACATGAGGGATGGGCTTCCCTGGGCTGTCTGGGAGGCTGAGGGGAGCCCTTTGCTCCACAGTGGCTGGGGAGAGTGTGGACAGCAAAGGCAGGCAGGCTGGGGGTGTGGCTCAGTGATAGAGAGCTTGCCTAGCATGCACAAAGCCCTGGGTTCAATTCCCAGCACTGCCGCCCTCCCCCATTAAAAAAAAAAAAAAAAGCAAAGCAAAGGCACCAACATGGAGGATCTTATTATGTCAGGCTCCTCCACCAGCTGCTCTCATACAGCAGGATTCGTAACCAGACTGCTTGGTGGAAGTGATCGGCAGATTCATTCTACCAGAGTTCATTCTGGTCAGACATGCCAGTCCCCTCCCTAACCAGCAACCTCAGAGGCTGCACCCTGCTGTTCTGAATCCAGAGCCTGCGCTCTCTCCCTCCAGGCTGCGCCTCTCCCTCGCTGGCAGGTGCATCAACCTGGAGATGGAGCCTAACATGCTCTGACAGGCATCAACCGCCACCCTACCTTCAGCGCCTGCTCCTTAAAGTACTGCAGGGCGTAAGCGAAGATTTCAAGGGCTTTGACTTTCTTGCCATTTGCTGCTGTCAGGTCTGTATCCATGGTGAGGTCCTGGTGGGGGGCGAAGGATGAAACAATAATAAGACAAAGGAGAGATACACCTCTGACTTTGGGAACTGATGCTTGGAGATCTGGACAATCCTGGTGAGCCATATATGTGTTCCCCCAATTGACAAGGTAGACTAGGATGGTGTGGTCCCCCAAAGGGGCCTGGCAGTACTGTCCCTTTACTGTGTAAGAGGCTCCGGTTGTTCCCTATAGACCCCAACGTCCCTCCCTCCCTCTTTCTCCCTGGACCATCTGGAGGTTTCAGGGCAATAGCAGAGGCTGGGAAGAGAAAATGGGCAGCAGACACCACGCCTGGTGCGATTTACATACTATTTCCATATGTGGTCACACATGGTCACCCTCAGAGGCCCCTAGTGGAGGCCTAATTCATGTCAACTCACTGCCACGCATGACTCTAAACAGACATGAAGCTCTCACTCCCCGATTAGCTGCCAACCAAGCTACCAAAATAGAAGAGCTCCTATTTTAAGGTCTGCCCTGTCTAATCCACTGGGAGCGCAATATGGCCGCCTGCAGTTCTCTGCCAGAAACCAAAGCAGCTGCTGCACACAGTCCTTGGATGGAGACTGCTCCGTGGAGCCCAGATGCCAGGTGAACAGAGGTTATTTTAAAAATGATGAGAAAAGCATCTGTGGGGCTGTGGGGCTGTGGGGCGGAGGATGAGCAGAGAGTGGAGCAAAAACCAGGAGGAAGCCCCGGACCAATAGGCTCATTAATGCCAGGAAACAATACGGGCACTCTGGATTGAAGTAGGCTGGGTGACTATGCTCTGCCTTTGGAGAGACAAGCAGCAGCGGGTACAAAACCAGCCTGGTGTTGATATCTGCACGTTCTTGTCCCACCTGCCACCTCCCTCTCCTGGTGCTTAGCAAAGATAACCCAGCCTTTGGCCCCCAGGCTCAGGAAGGCCGGGGAGCACCAGGAAGCCACAGCTCTGAATTAAAAAAAAAAAAAAAAATGAACTTGAAGTCAACAGTGCACTGCCTCTGGCTGTACAGTCCCTGACATTCAGCATCAAATCCCATCAGGAAAGATGACAGGAGTCACTTCCGGCCAGAGTCCAGCTGCATCAGATGGAGAGCCTAGGTACGGTGCTCACAGAACCTTGGAAGGCAGGGTGCTGCCTGCTGAGTCTCCCATTGACGTTTGTTTTGTCAGCTGCAAAGGTTTGCTGGCTGACAAAGGAAAGTGGTGCTAATGGGAGGAGCCCTGGACTCGGCCCTACCCTGTCCCGGGCCTGGTTCTGAGAGCTTTCTGCATCTTCATTCCTTTAATCCTTACAGTTCCCCCCTGAGCACAGAAGGTGCTGTCATCGTCTCCATTTTACAGATGAAGCTGAATGAGGCACAGGCAGGTTAAGTGACTTGTATTAAATGTCTTGAAGGTACGAGAGGCAGCAGTTAAACTCAGGCTGCCTGGACCTGGGGTCTGGGGTCTCAAACCTCATCACTCTCTGCATCTCCAAGTCCGGGGACTTGCAGAAGAGAGTTTAGGGGATGAAAATGCTCAAATTGAAAACAACTCCAGCTTCCTATGAAGCTTCGAGCTTCAATGTCCTCCTTAAATTGGGTGTTGGTGTCCTGAGCTCCTCCTTCCCCACGCAGGGGCTTGATGTGTCAGCTGTTACTGGTTGTTTCTTCCAAACTGATTAGTTAATAACCACTGCCTTGAACCCCCAGATGCTCTTAGCCCCCTGAGGTGCCCTCTGAGGGGCTCCCTGTGCTGCTCCCTGGGCAGAGAGGAGCTCCTGATCTCCCAACAATCCAAAAACTGAAGGGGGAACTCCTGGGACAGAAGGGGGGCCCAGCATCCTGTACCCAACCTACAGCCAGGGTCCCCTCTGACTGACCAGCTTCCAAGACAAATGAGCAGTTCAATATTCTGAAAGTCTCTCTGCCCACATGGACACCAGAAAGCACTATGTGTCCCACAAAAAGTGTCGCGTGTTCAAGGTAAATGGGCCTGAATTTCTGTGGTGGAGAAACCTGAGGGCCCCTGGGCTGGGACACATCCCGCCCCCCAGGGCTGGCTCCTGAGGAGAACTCTCTCACCCCTGTGGTGTGCAGCTTCATCTTGAACTTCTCCAGATACAGCCACTGCTTGGCCTCGGTGGGATCCAGGTCATGGTAGAAGTCCCTGGCAGCGTATCCAAAGCTGTGGAACTTCCTCTCGGGGGTCAACAAGATGGTGGTCGGGGTCTTCTGGTTGGACACCCCAGGATCGCCTCCCTCCCATCGCCTGCCACCAAGGAAAGGCAGAGGTTATGAGGCCTTGGAAAATCCCAGTTCAGGCAGCACTGAGTAAGCACCCACTGTATGCATAACTGTCATAGATGTGAAGGGGTAGGTACACTCTGGTCCAGGTGCCTGGCCAGTGGCCAGAGACACGATTTCAGTTAGAAGGGGAAGGGACAATTGCCACGTTCCTGCTCAATAACACGTTCTAACTTTACCCTCTCGTTCAGTACTTATGGAGGAGCTACTCTGTGCCACGTGCTGGTGACACAGGGACAGAAAATTTATGTTCTGCCTTCAAATAACTCAGTCAGGTAGGTAGGTGATTTGTTTTGGATTTTGCAGGGGTTGAGGGTTAATCTGTAAGCACTCAACAGCATCCGGTTGGCCTGAATCCTCTTTGAAAAAATATATATAAATGCCAGCCCTCTTAGATGGAAATGAGGGGACCAGGGAAGTGGTCTGAGGAGGTCAGAGAAGGTACAAGTGCCCATATGGCCATGTGGCCAGGAAAGTGTGCAGGACTCAGGGGGACGGGAGAAGCTAAGGAAGATTGGATCTGAAAGGGCAGAAGGACCGTCCTGGCTGCTGGCGGTGAACGGGTCAGGAGTGGGCCACGTGTGTAAATGAGAAGAGCCACTGCGTAACTGGAAAAGCGAGAAATGAGACTGGGAAAGTGGTTGGCCCTGGCTGGGGAGGACCCTAAGGACTTAGGAAAATCCGTGAATCATGGGGAGCCACCAAAGGCCTTAGATCAGGGCGTGACAGAATCAGAGCTGCTGTTCACGAGGGCAAACTGAACTAAAGAGGGCGGACAGGCAGCCAGCGGGCAGACGCGGAGTGAGGCCTGGCCTGGAAGCCACAGGAAGGGAGAGATCGGGGCAGAGGAGTGCCAAGCCTGCCCAGAGGGAGAAGGGAGCCAATGGGCATGGCCGTGAGCAGGAGCCCGGGCACCCTAGAGCCCGCAAGCTCAGGAGCCCAGAGGAGAGGGCACAGACAAGAGCTGAGAGCCAGGCCAGGGGAGCTGGAGGGAGGGGCGGGGTGTTGAACTCCTGGAGGGAGGGGTGGAGAACAAAAGCCCAGAGTTCATGGGAGAGATACAGGCAGGAAATGAAGCTCACAGATCAGTGACAGCCAAGGTGACAAGATGGGATGGGAACATGGAGGAGGGAAAGGGCCACCACTAAGGCGGAGCCAGAAGAAAGGCGGAAGACAGACTCAGGTGGTGGAGCAGGGCAGGGGTAGGCTGAACCCCGGAGAAGCTTCCTTCCTCTGTCACCAGAAAGAAAGGAGAGACAGGGAAGTGGGATGGAGCGGGCAGGTGACTCATGCTTCCTCTCTCCACTGCAGAGAAGCCAGGGCTGCCAGGAGCCAGGCTGCTCCCTTCCACGCGACCCTGGGGGCAGCCTCAGGTGGAGACTCAGCACAGAGGGGAAATGAGGCGCTTCCCCTGGCCCCCCGGGGAGGTGGCTACCCCTCTGGCTGAGCTGAAACCTGCTCCCTGCATGGCACCACTGAGCCCAGATGGAGTGCCGACCTCCGGCGAGATTTGCTGCTCCGATGGCTCTGGAACCATCCCTGGCCACTTTCCCAGCCAAGCTCCATCAGGATGCAGCCTTCCACTCCAGGAGCCAAAGTCCCCGAGGTGACTGCATGGAGACTCAGGAATGATTCCCAGGCCAGGCAGCAGCTCTACACGCCACTTTTCACAAATGGACTTGTCATTACTATCAAAGGTGACATTTTCAGTAATGACCCCGTGAGCTCTTCCCTTCAAACTTTGATTCCTTCATTCCTATTTAAATGCAAAATATTACATTCCTCATTCCTACCTTTATCAGTCTGTATCATGGTTATGTTAATATGTTCTGACGGGAATAAAATTCGAGCAGAACCAACATCCTCCAAGGACTCTACAATAACAAAGGCCTGAGCCACAGTGATGGTCCTCAGTGCTCCTTCAGGCAAATAAAATGCTTTTTCACTCTTTCTTTTCTATTTTCACTGCCTGACTCTCCTGTGGAAATAACATTTGGAAGCAGACAAACATTGATTGGCATTATTTTCCATCTGGGAAAGCAGCACAGATCCTGCCAGAGATGGAATCCTAGGGGCCGCTGAGCGCTATGTGGTCTAGTAGAAGTGGCTTTTCATTATTTCCTAATGAGATGACACCCAGGCACCCAAGGGCCTCTGGAGTTTTTTAGAAGGACAGGGGCCTCAGGCTGAACCACATCTGGTTGTCAAGAGAATGATAAGCCAAACCTAGTAGGCTAGTGTTTTACACTGCCGTCATAAAAACACCCAAGATCTTACTCTGGGGGTGATGCATAAATTTCACAATTAACCAGTTAAAGGAAAATCAAAACCATTTATAATGAAACTCAAACCCTCTCCTAGATGGAAAATCAAGATGATAAATCCCAGGCTTCCAAAGTTTTGAGGGGCCACAGAGTCTGCAAGAGGGTCAAAAATTACCACTGAGAGAGCCAACAGGACAAACCAGAGTCCCAGTGGACATTGGTTTCAAGGGTTGGGTGGTGTGAGGGCTGCCGGGATGCTCCATGCATCATGGAGGGCACGGTGGGGGTGATCTGGCACAAAGTGTCCAGGAGGCCAGGGTTACTCTGCCTTTAGGGCCACTTGGCTGAGATTCACCCCTCCTGTTTCCTCCCGGGCCTGTGCCTTCAGCCCTTGTGATACTGTCACCTGAAAGAGCTGGTGCTTCTCTGCATGCTGAGTACTTGATAGGAAATCTCATTTGCAGGAGGCAAATTCACAGGTGCCATTGCTATTGCCATTTCACAGATGAGGAAACTGAGGTTTAGATGGTTCAATCCAAAGTCAGACTGAGCAGCCAGCACCTGGACCTCCTCCATCACAGAGGCTGTGTAGGTCAGCTCCTCTCAACAGGCCATACCTTGGAGTCACCTGGCCAGGCTCCAAGCACAGGGCATGGCCCCTCCCCTGACCAACTACATCAGTATTAAACCAATGCTTCGGAGACAGGCACTGGAGGCCTGTGGGTCAGAAACGGCTTGCTCAAAGTGGCACAGTGGGTCTGGGCTAGAATCCAGGGTCCTCCTCCTACTGCCATTCACCTGCCCATTGACTGCTCTGACCCTGGTGCCGCTCAAGCCTGCCCCACCCACAGCACTCACCTCATCACGTGAATGCATTCTGGCTCCTTGGTGAAGCTGTAGGCATAGCCGCTGGACGTGGTCCCAAAGTCGATGGCCACCACCACGAGAAACGTCTGCTGTTCCGAGACGTTGGGGTCGGCATCATTCTGTAGATACAAGTGAGGCTCTGTGCCCGGGCCAGGCCTCCCAGCCCAGCGGCGACTCACTGCAGGCAGAAGGGTTTCCACATTCCTGCTCAAGTCTGCCACGTGGCAGCCCTGGGGACAGGGCAAGCCAGCCTCAGCCCCACTTGAGTGGTTTGGGGAGACAGAGGTGCCCGAGTGGGGACAGGACACCTGGGCAGGGCACTGCTTGCAGCTCATCAACCCTGCATGCCTGTGGCTAATTATGGAAGTGCTACCATGGAGCAGAAGCCCAGTAGCTCTCTGGTTAGACACTGTCTCCCCCACTGCCCTCCACGATCCTGTGCAGACCTCTAGTGACCGCCCCGAGCACTCTGCCAGCTGTGCCCTTCATCATGCCCCCCAGTGATCTCTCCATCTGTGCCAGCATTTCATGCACCTGAACAGGCTGGGCACACCCAGGACCCTACCTGATCCTGCAAAATGCCAACCACATGACCCTGCCATGCCCATGCCCTCATCTGTCAGAGCCTTTCCTCATCTGTCAAGTCATTTGGGCAGACATTTTTTTTTTAAAGCAATGTAGACTTTCTTTCTTTTAACTCCCACACAACTCCAAATTATAAAAGAGCTATGTGTGCCCAGCCTGCCTACTGGTGCCACTCCCCTAGGCCCTCAGCTCTAGAAGCATGGGCCACATGTAGAAAGCCTTTCTAGGCCCCGAGTGGGGAAGGCGCTTGGCAGGGCTTCCATGGCCAGTACCTGGGATTTGATCTCCACCCAGTGAACATGCAGGGCTGCCCAGGGGCCTGAACAGTGAGAGCAGATGCAGAAGGAAAAGGTAGCCAGCTCACACGCACAGGCGCATGCACACATGCACACACTTCTTACCACGATATGGGAAGGGGACAGAGGCGTTATTCCTGTGTCCCCAAGACTCCGGGCTGGAGATGAATATGCAGAGGTGGGGGCCGTTTCTGAAAGGAAAGATAAAGTCCCCCCTTAGACGTGGCACAGGCTGGCCCGGGGACAGGAGTGAGGCCCGCAGGGTTTTGCTCCTCAGGCTCTGGGCTGCTTGAAAGCAGGGCCAGACCCCAGCCAGGAAGGCAGGGGGTCCAAGTCCACGCCAGCACCCCTTTGGGTTTGGAATTAGAACTTGACCCAGTGAGATGTCCCTGTCCCTTTTCTCCCAGTGACTACCAGGCTTCTCACTGTGCCACCCAACCCCACCAAGCAGGAGATGCTGTTAAGTCCTCCAAAGGCTGGACACTGCACCTATGAATCCCAGGAGCCACACGGGGCTTGGCATGTCCCGCTCCACTCAATGCATAGCCTAATACCTGATAGGAGGGCTCGAGGTGACTTGGAAAGGCATGGCTGCTTCTGAGGGAGCACAGGAGCGGCTCTATCTGCCTCTTCTGCAGAATCACTTTGCATTAATCTCAGGCTCCTGCAAAATCTCTTTCAATTGGGTGGGAACTCAAACCGCATCATTACAGTGAGTACCCAACAGCCCAGGGACAGAGCAATGGTGAGAGCGAATGTGAGAGCTGGAGTCTGCTCAGCTGCCTCCCCTCTCTGCAAGCTCATGATCACTCTCCTCACCATGAGGCTCAGCTCCAGCTCTGTGAGAGCCACGAGATTACAGAGGCAAAAGGTTGAATGGACATTTCTCAGAGAAGACATACAAATGGTCAGGAGGCTTATGAAAACATGCTGAATGTCATTACTCATTAGATAAATAACGCAAATCAAAACTACAATGAGATACCACTCCACACCCGCTAAGTTGACAATTCTTTAAGGACAAGTGTAGAAAAAAACATGTGAAAAAAATGGAACTCTATGCATTGCTAGTGAGAATGTAAAATGGTACAGTTGTGGAAAATGGTTTGGTGGTTTCTTAAAAAGTCAAATATAGAATTACTATAATTCAGTAATCCTACCCCTAGGTATCTCCCCAAAGTAATTGAAAACAGGGACTCAAAGAGGTAGTTATGTGTGAATGTTCATTACAGCAAGGTTTACAATGATCAGAAGATAGAAACAACCCAAGTGTCTATGAAGAGATAAATGGATAAATAAAAGGTGGTATGTGCATACAAAGGAATAGTATTCGGCTATAAAAAAGGAATGACATTCTTATACATGCTACAACATGAATGAAACAGAAAACATGCTAAGTGAAATACGCTGGACACAAAAGGACAAATACTATATAATTTCACTTATGTTTAATATCTGTAATAGACAAATTTGTAAAGACAGAAAGTAGATTAGAGGTTACCAGAACCGGAGGGAGGAAGAATGGAGAGTTATTGCTTAACGAGCACAAAGGTACTGATTGGGATGATGAAAAGTTTTAGAAATAAATAGCAGTGAAGGTTGCACAACATTGAGAATATCATTCCTGCCACTGAACTGTACAGTTAAAAATGGTCGAAATGGTAAGTTTCGTTACATATACTTTATCATAGTAAAAAATGTTTTTTTTAAACAAGAAAAACAATTTGCTCATCTGGGAGGGAAAGCCATTTCCCATTTATTATTAGCTTCCATGGCCCAGGGATCTCAAAAGAGCATGGAGAAGTCAGCTCTTTTCCTCCACCAGCCTGCTAACTCCACCATCTTCGCTGATCTCCCAGCACAAGGGTCCCACCTTCCATAAAAGCCGGATGAACGCTGCCTCTCCACTTAGGGTCCCAGCCGGGTGATCCTTCCACCTGTTCATGACAGTTCCTTCCTGCCCAAGGCCCCTTAGACAACCCTTGGAGAGACGCCATCCAGCCCCAGGAGCTGCCCTCTCTCCACCTGCTACCTGGAAGGCCTGCGGCCCCGCGGCCACATTTGCACAGAAGGTCTTGGAAGGAACCAAATGTCTAATGGCCCAGAAAATCTGGTGTTGGCAATTAGCAAACAAGCTATTATCCACCGGCAGGCCCTCCACCCTGCTGCAGCTCGGTTCTAATTATCCTGTCACTCAGCCCTTCTCCAAGCTGGCCTGGGTCATCCCACTGACTTGCAAAATAGCATGGGTCCAGCCACACACTGAACATGTGCCTCGGGCCCCCAGGGGACTCCAGGGGACTTTGAGGGTAAGAATCAAGGATTTTTTGTTGTTGCTGCTCTTCTCCCCATATCTCCCTCCCCCACTGCATCCGGGGAAGTACTAAACAAATCATTTGACTTGCTGATTACTCGCCAGGCCTGGAGGCAGTTGAACTTCATGGACTTCTTTCATCAGAAATTAAAATTCATCTACATTATTCAATGACTTAAAACTGATCTGCTGAGAAGGAATGGAGGAGAAAGGTTTTCATAGATACTTGTGTTACTGGGCACATCCACATCTGTACATAGTCCAAGCTAAAGATAATTACCTGTTCATGCCCACCGACCCAGCACAGCAATATACAAAGGCATCAGAGACACATTTGATTTCAGCTGATATCTCTACTTTGCCATTTAGAATGTCAAAGTGGTGCGGAAAACTTCAAGGTGAAAAGCCAACCTTATCCCCTAAAGAGCAACAGTGGAAAGTTTATTAATCCTGGTGTGCTAATGATCCCAACAAGGCCTGAGATCTTGCATGCCTTAGGACTAAGCCTGAGAAGGTCAGTGGAGTGTGATCTATTCATCTCTGGCTACCTGAGCTAACAGAGGACAGGCATCACGCGCCCCCTTCAGTCCTGCACAGCCATTACCCACAGTAAGAAAGTCCAGGTACCGTTACTGTGGCCCTGTTCACTCTGCCTCGGTAAAGCTAGTACAATAACATCTGCCCCAGGCTGCTTCCACCGATGCAAGTTCCCAGTATACACAGGTCAGCTGGGGCACACTGGGAACATACGAGAAGCCAAAAGCTCAACCTGAATACAGGTTTTTATATTGCAGGTTTGCAAGAAAGAAAGAAAGCAGAAAAAAAAAGGAATTTCAGGCCCCAGCTGCGGAAACAGGGAAGAGAGACTGCTAAAAGGGAGATGAAAGGAAAATGCTTTATCAGGAAATGTAGTCAAGGGCAGAGTCCAAGGATCCAGGACACTGAAGAATACCTACTCCATCACTCCAGGTAGAGTGCATAAAGACCACCCAGAGCTCCTTCCTTGTCAAGCTCCGAGTTACCCCGACATCCACAACACAGGGTGAGTCCACGGTCTCACAGAATTAGAAATATGCTGACGGTTTCAAGAGTGCAAATCATCAGCCACAAAACTAAGTTAAGCGGAAGGGAAGCAACCCCGGAACTTTCTAATAACTAGAAATGAATTGTCAGGTCTCCTTTGCTATTAGATAATTTAATACCACTTCAGTCTCATAGTGTGCAGATGATCTCTTTAATGAATATAAATATATGAATATATTTATTAATGAATATATTAAGGTTAATGAATATAAAAATATGTTGATCAGGGCTGGGGCTGTAGCTCAGTGGTAGAGCACCTGCCTAGCATGCATGAGGCACTGGGTTCAATCCTCAGCACCACATAAAAATAAACAAATAAAATAAAGGGGACATTCTGTCCATCTACAACTACCAAAAAAATTTTTTTTCAAAAAACAAGTTGATCAAAGTGTTCACAGGTTTGCTCATAAACCTTGAACCCTCCTGTCCTAACACATTCATTTTAAAAAATGAATTTTAAAAATGTCATTTTAAAACCATGTCATCTTAAAACTAACATTTGCAGCAAAAGAAAAAAAAGGATATAAATAAATAAATAAATATTTTGAAGCAATGCACAGGATAAATAAATAAAAGAATCACTCGAACAACAAGTGTCCTACCACGGGGCTTCTTAGAACCCCAAACCAGGCATTTGAGGGGGACCTAGTTTAACTTGGTAATTGAATCCTCCTCACTTGCTTTAATGGAACAAGAATTAAAACGTAGACTTCATCTGGGTTCCTGCTATAAAATGCAAGACATGTACAATTCAAACACATTTTTATTTGCTCCCAGCTCTAATGGCTTTAATCAAAGCAGACGTTCTTAAAATTAAAAAATAGCCTTGCTAAGAGAACCTCAAAGACAGCCATAATTCACAAACTCGCTGCTCTCCTCCTCCTCCAGAGACATTAGTCAGCAAATGGCCGTGAGCAGCATCGCAGGCTTTGAGATACACGGATCGATCTGCTCCATAAATGCGACATTCTTTAAAGATGAAGACAGAACCATTGGGCTGGCTTTATTCTATGGAGCTCCAGACTTATGTGAAAGTGACAGGTGGTCTCAACAATAGCTTAGCGACAGGCTCGACTCTCCAAAGGGTCCTTCCCACCAGCTTTCAGATTTATGTATCTATCAAAGAAATACCCATTTCTAAAGGATTTTTAAGGTCTGGTCCTTATTTAAAAAATTATACACACACATTTTTTTCCTCATTTTTCTTCCCCTGAAGGCTATAAAAGGACAGGCATTTGCCCCAGTGCCTAAAATCAGGCTGATTGAGAAAAAGCCCTCTCTATTTCTCTCCTGATACACCCTCCTCCCAGTACCATCTCTGAAAATTGATCAGTTCAAGGTCATGTGTAGGTTACTTGCAAATGTCTTTTAAGAAGGAAAATAAAAAATCTTTTATGACCCTCTAACAGGCGTCATGGCTAGCTGAACTAATGCATTATTACCGTAAGCTGAGCCTCCATTTCAGTAAATAATTTATGGGCTTTTATTTTTTTAATCACCATGGTTGATGTCCAGAGTAAATGGAAATTTTATTGGCATGAACAGGAGACCCTCTCACTATGAAGAACCCTGAGTGTAAAATAACCACTCTCCAAATGCTAAATAATAATTACGGAAATGAGTACTCAACGTGGCAGAGACCACAACACCAGGCTCAGTCTGAATGGGGGCGCTGCACCAGGTCCCCAACACCAGGCGGCACCTTCTAGTTACCCTTCCTGCCTCCTGGACAGTCCAAGAGATGAGATGCCCCAGCAGGAGAACAAGGGCAGCTGGGTTTCCCCAGATAGTGAA